GCCGTCAATTTACGCAGCACTTTACATATATATTGTACATTCACATCACTCCCTAACCCTCAAGGGGTGTACAATCTAAGGTTCCTAACTTACATTCATACATACACATACTAGGGCCAATTTAGACAGGATCCAATTAACCTACTAGCATGTCTCGGCCTTTTGGCTAAGATCAAGTGTAGTATCTGTTCTTATCAGTGTCCAGTGGGGGTGCTCCCGACCATTCTAGTTTACGGGGATGGTTGTTGTATAGTACCCTCACTGGTATGATGGGGGTCCGGAAGGCTAGTACCGGAGGGACAGAAACCAGGGAGCGCCATGATTCGTTCTGGGGCCTTGGGAGTAATTCCTCTGGGGAGACCGGAAAGACCCAGTACCTCCTGATCTGAACGTGCTACCTTGGTCTGGCCTGGGGCTGGGGACGCAAAAAGTCCGCAAACTCAGTGCCCCCTGGGGAAGACGCTCTCAGGGGTGTCACTAGTAACACTTGGGTGTGGGACCCCACGGTGTGAAGATGACACATGGCCACTGTTTTTCACTTCTTTTTGCACAGCGCCCTAAGGACCAGGTCTTTTGGCTAAGTCCAGGGCAATTTTTGCTACAGGCCTCAGGGCCTGGTCTGTGCACTATTAGGCACGGTACCACTTTTTTATTTTATTCTATTTATTTAAACCACTCCCACGTTTTGTCACTTTTTCTGTTCTTATGTGTGTGTTTTTCACGGATGGAGGGTGTGGGTCCTCGGGCCTTACCTGAAGTCTAGGGGGAGGATGTGTGGCCATACGGTTCCTTCCTCCCCTGATCCCTAGGGGGTTTTCTCTTCGGGAGAACCCCCTTGCCTAGTACTGGATGTCCGGCTTCGGCTGGGCATAAGGAACGGTGGTCCACCAGGCCTTTTGGCCAGGAGGACCAAATGGGAACCTTGTCCCTGTCAGGAGCTTCGTGCCCCGGGGGATCGGGTGAACGGTCCAACCCTTTCGGGGGTAGGACAAACACACCCCTAAGTGCACGTTTTTCGTGTGTGTGTTTTTGCACTTGCACTTTTTTGCGGACACTTACGGGTTTTTTTACGTTATAGTTGCACGTTTGCGGACTTAAAAAAAAAAAAAAAAAAAAAAAAGCATGTCTTTGGAATGAGCCGCTCCACTTTTACCAGAAAACAAAGCAAGTCCAGACTCTTTAGGGCATTCATGCCAAGGACCATTTGGTAACAAGGACACAATTGGACTGTGAATGGCCACTACCCCAACTTGTTCCATTACTTGCTCAAAGATTTGGACCTTCACCCATGTGACCCCTTCCACTCTAATTAGTAAGTTTCTCACTGTTTACAGTATAGAGATAACCAGGATGGGTCTAGCTGGTCACAGGTCCCAAAATGCTGGGCGTAAAAGTCGTGTTTCATAATGATGATATCTGATCTGGTGTCTATTAATCAAGGGACCAGTTGTCCATTTACTATGGCAGTCCCTGCTGGGCTTGGGCTTACCGCCTGTCTTGTGGGTGTGCAGTCCCCAGGGGTTGTTCCTCTGCCCCAGAATCCTCTAATTTAACTGCTGTCGAGTGACTCTCTTGTTTTCTGAGCGGCCACAGTTCCTGGCCGGGTGGCACACCGCCAGCATCTCCCGTCTTCATCTGGATTCTGTCGCAGGGGATTGTCCCCCTTGGTCAGGTGGGACAGTTCCTGTTTAACTGTGGTCATTTCTTGTCACATGGACACCAGATTATGGGTCAATTCTCAGATAGCAGTCTGAAGGACCGACTGTGAGGAAGGGGCCAGGGCCTCTTCTTTGGCATAAGGAGGTTAATTTTTCTTGGTTATGGCAACAGTGGCTTTTGCACCCTCCTGTTCCCTAACCACTGTCTCCGCCACTATATTGTTCAAAGTCAGGGAGAGCTGGGACCTCACCCATTCTGGCAGGGCATGTCGGACGGGGCCCGCACTCACTCTTCCAATAAATTGATCTTGCAGCAGCTTTTCTGGGGTACCTTTTGTTGGCACACCTTGCAGGCTCCTATCCCTAACTTAACCATATGTGGAATGCGTGCAAACTGCAGGGGAACAGCGCTTCTTATAAGCATAGCTCTCACTAAAGATGGCCGCAGGGGTCACCTTGGGACATGTGTGGAGGCCTAAGAGGAATGGGTATTCCTCTTCTGCATTCTGGCTGCAGGGTGGTGCAACATCACCACCTGTGTAGGGAGGTCAAACTGCACCTGCCTACATGCAGCCCACCACATGTACATAATTATGACTAAACTACAGGGAGAAAGAGCCACGCTCTCAAATCAGCTGAGCAGCTCAACCTAAGTGCTCCATGCTCAAAACTTTTCTAGTAAAGTGCTAAATCAAAAAATCTAATCAAATCAAATAAATTAGGATATATGATACAGTGTTGAAAAAATATATAGAATACAGTTAATAATGCAAAATGCAAACAAAGATAGCTACCATTAATATATGCAGTCCACTCTTTATATGTTAAAACATAATTGTGACACTTTCACAATATACTATATGTGTCCAGTACACATAACAGCCCGCAATAAATATCCTTAGAACCCATGAGTCAAATTTTAAAGAAATGCCCTATTGCATTTAATGGTACTTTTTATAGTTTCCTAAAGTTTACTGTACTATAAGCATATAAATATTAGGCACTAAAATCTGCAGTAAATTGTACACACACTGTCAACTACTGAAAGTGCTGGGAGCTCATTAGTTAAAGACTAGGGATTATAACCGTGGGAAAGGGGGGTGGGCTTTGTAATGTCGTAACTGATTGGTTGTTTAAATTCAATACAATTGGAGCGATGAATTAAAATCACTTCTTTGGAATGTTGTGAGTTTAATACAAGCTACGAATCTTGGAGCTAAAAACAGGTGTAAATAGAAAGGTCAGTCTTATTAACACTGCTGTGTTTTATCTTCATGTATTAACAGATGTGGTGTATGCTTGGTTGTTTATAATATTCTAAACTTTATCTTAAATCTATTCTAAGTGGTAAATGTATAGTTCACAATAACATGTAGTGACTGCGCTTAATGGTTTTTGTTTAGTATTTAAACTGAGTTAAACTGGGTTTTTTTTAAACTATACAGAACAGAGAGAAAAAGTAAATGTAAGATGTAAAAATGTTATGGAATAGATCCACAATAGTAATTTTTTATCCAAATAAGAAAAGCATTCTGGCAAAAATAACTATTCTGGATGTACAAGTTTTTGATATAACATGGTTCTGCCTAGAGAAAAGAAATCTAAAGTGTTTGGTCATTGTGAGTGTTTGCACACAAGGTTTAACAATAAGGATAAGGAACTAGGTGTAAATTTATTAGGTGCAGTCAGCTCAGTGCTTTTGCATCCTGTGATGACTTTAATGAAATTTGCCTAGTTTCCATGCCCAGTAGCATATATACACTTTAAAGCAAATATACTGTATATTGTTTACATATTTTCTGTATTTATTTTGTTTTTAGTTAATAATAAACTTATTTTCCATTTTAATATTTCATAATTTAATTTTCTGCCAGTGGCTGCAGCTTTTCATGTGTTTAGCAGAACCAAAATTTAGCTCAATAGACTAATCCTTGTCTGCCCTGTAAGGCTTTATATAAAATTTCAATTAGAGAGAAATAAATTGGTAGAAACAGCTTCTACTGTGCTGTCTCTATTTAAAAAAACCCATAATGTATAATGGCACCAGTGTGTGCACCTTATATGAAAAGTTAATTTGTAAAACTAATGGTTTTACATACATAGTAGGAAAAAAGTCATAAAATATTTTAAAACATACAAACTTAAAAACAAATTTAAAAAAAATTGACTCAAAAAATAAATTGCTTTTCCATTATATGAATCTTACACAAGACAGAATCTGCTATGGAGTATAACAGGTGTCCAACACAGAGGTGCTAATGGGGTCTGATAATATTCTTTACAGTACTTTTTGTTATGACCTCAGTGTATGTTGGGACACTCTGCTCTGAATTTAGCGGGAAAGGAATGCAAGGTGCAGCATGCTTAAGCTAGCCATACACTAATAGATTTTCAAATGAACATTAATAGGAATATTCATACAAAATTCTCAGTACTGGACAAATGTTGTTCAAAGTACTTCATAATTTGATTTGCTTTTAACATTCAATTTTGGAATGATTTTAATTTCCCAAACAGAAACTGCATACACAGTTAGAAATTTGTTCATTCAAGACAAATTTTCCATTCTTCTTTCTCAAAATTTCTCATCACTGCAGTCGAAAACAAACATTGATTTGACCCCAATAAAGATTAGAAAATTGGACAAAACTTATATTAACATTTTTTAACAGAATTCTACTAGTGTATGGCCAGCTTTAGATAGGCCTCACAACCTAAAACCTAACAATGTAACATAACATTAGGGGCCTATGGTATTCCTACTTAGGTCTGAAGTAGGGCTTCCATGAAAGACCCTTTTACAGACCCCTTATCCCAGAGGTCTCCAAATGTTCTAAGTGACAGTTTATTGTCCTTTAAGTTTTATGGGGGCCAGACTGTGGCCAATGGGAGTAGAAAATGTCCTGGCATCAGTGGGAATAAAAAAAGGTAAAATAGTGCCCTTTCATTGGTGTCAATGGGAGAAATGATGCCCCATTGTTGGTGTCAGTGGAACGAATAGTGCCCCACCATTGAATAGTGGGAGCGGGAAGAATTATGCCCCACAGTTGGTGTCAGTTGAAGGTATGGTGCCTGTTTGTGTTAGTAGGAGGAATAGTGCTTTGTATTAGTGGGAGGAATGGTTCCCTCAAGGGCTGAATAAAGGCAAGAAAAGGGTTGCATTTGGCCCAAGTTTGGAGACAGAAATGTCAAACATGTTTTACAGTATCTGAGAAAAGAATATGCGTTTAGCATTAGTAATTCCAATACTCCACTTTTCGATTCCTTTTTATTACATTTAGCATTAGTCATTCTAATATTCCACTTGTTAATTCCTTTTTATTACAGGTAGCTTTGCAAACAATGGCTGCAATTACTCCTGTACCACGTGACAGTAATCTGTACTGTTATAAAGGATTCTGTTTCTTAAAGAAAATGATGACACCAGAGTTTATAGACTCCCTACAGGATTTTAAAATAAGAGATGATGATGTTTTCTTGATTACATATCCAAAATCAGGTGGGTTTAACGCCACTTGCAGAAATTCTAAAAATTCATTCAGAAATAGTTTAGAAATTTATGAATAAGGTCTGTTTTTAGACTGAAATGCGTTAGTAAGTTTGCCGAAGAATATCTTTACTCCTTTATGCATTAAAGAAGATTTTTGTATTCACTTGTTGCTGACATTTTTGGAATTGGACTTGTACTTATAAGCAGATGGAGACTGCTAGTGCAGCACATGAGCTTATATGCTTTAAGCCTAATACATTTGACAGGTAGCAACCCACTTCTGTTTGGATTTACATACAGTATGGGTTTGTACATTTCCCATTCATTTCCAATGAGGCTTTACACTCTGCTTCTTTCACTTTTTAGATTATACCAAAATATTTCAAATGAGCATGTTGTTTTACTAAATGTAGTAATATATCATGCAATAGAACCAGTTTCCGCTGGCTTGTGTACCTGAAGGACAGATAGCTGAACAAAGTCCACACTTCAATAAAATTCTGAAACACAGAAACGCGTTAAAGCAAATGAATATGATGAAGAGAATTTACAGAGCTTTTCCTGAGAAAAAATCTATACATCAAATTAGTGGTAGACCCTGATACATTATAAGTGTAACTGCAAATCAGATTGTTATGACACAATTCCCTCAATAGGTTACAGCCTAAGTTTAGGTAAAATTTATATTAACCCCCTTGGAAGTATTCCTGAGTGTAGCTCGGGGTAAAGTTTCAGTACCAAAAGCAGAAACCCTGAGCTACACTCGGGATTACGCTGCAGTGCTGCTCAGGGATTCCCTCAATAACTTTCCTTGTCCTTCGCTCCCGCAATGTCCCCCCTGCAGTGTCCCCGGCCATCTCCTTCGGCCAATGCCAGCATCCAACTTTTGGGTTCCATTCCCCGTGAGCGCCGGGACGTACGGGGAATGGAACCGGCAGGAAATTCAAAATTTTTAAAAGTGACATTCACTCAATACACTAAAATCTCATAGTAAAATATTACTGTATCAAACCATTTCACATACATTTTGTCCCGAGTGTTTTGTCCTGTGCTCTGCCTGCATTTTTTCTGTTCTTTCTGCCTGGAAACTGAGAAAAGTCCATGGCGTCCAAAAAGCATCCCTTTAGGTCAAAAGCGATTTTAGACCAGCTAGAGAACAGCGATAGTAAATTAGAACCACTTGCAGAATTGAGTGATAATGATTTGTGGGGAAATTTGTCATCAGACACTGAAAACAATTTTGCAACTAAGCTCAGCGATGTGCAAACTTGGCTCTCTATTTCAAATTTCAGTGTTTTTGGTTTGATTATATTATTGAATTAAATTTATTATTATTATATTATTAATTTTTATGATTATTTATTATATTATAATTTATGATTTCGTGTTTCAAATTTTATCATACCCGGGATGTTTACTAGCCTCTTGTTCGGACAGATTTCAGTGAGTTATTCCTAAGAATTACAGGCCTACAATAAAAAAACAACATATTTCCATGCAAAAAAATGTACTGCTTTTGAGCACAGAAATACTGACATAATCAGACTGCTAGGGAGGTTAAAAAGTCTTCTGTCTTCTCCATACCTCTATAGCCCTAATCTTCCAGTGCTGCAGGAGGTAATGCAAGTGCTGGACCTGTCACAGGTACTGGACGAATGGTGGAGGGAGGCAGAAAGGGTGGACACAGTCAGCACTCCCGATGAATACCTCTCCTTTCTCACACTGGCCAAATCTCTCCCCTTAAAAGTCTCAGTGTACAGGATTTTCTGCCTTCCATGAGATTCTAGATTCTTCAGTTTCTACAATCTTCCAGCCCTGCCCATAGACTAACCAAACTGACCATATCCACAAATCTACATAACCTAAGTCAGCTTTTCCCAACCATTTTAATGCAGAAGAACCCTTGAAATAACATTTTAAACCCAGAGAACCCTAATATTTACTATATCAAATGTTCACAGTACATTAGCATGATGGTCATTGGGAAGAATGCTCCTTACATTTTTTTTTACCATTGGTTAGATTCCCCCCTTACAGGTAGGCAAAAAGATCATTGTTGATAGTGGTTACTCATCTGAGAGGCAGACGTTGCTCACTGCGCAAGGAACCCCTGTCAACCTCTGGAGGAACCCTAGGGTTCTACAGAACCAATTAAGAGGTTGATCCAAGCTGTAAAGCTGTTTAAATAAATTAAAATGAGTTATTTTTATTCCCTTACACATATACCACAAGCTAGATGTTGTAAGGTGCTATGGTGTGGGTACTGGTGGGCAGAACAAAAAAAAGCTAACAGATTCCTCTGTCCACACAAATGAGGTGGATGGAGAATCCCCCCACACCCCACCAGGACGTTGTATTCTGACACTGGCACCCACTGATTGGTTGCAGCCACTGATCAATGGAAACATTTTCAACATCTCACTTCTATATAGTTTAAATAAACAATTGACTTCTAGCTACTGAGGAAGCACACACATTTAGTCTGGTTCTTGTATGACTGGCTGAACTTTATTCAGTATTAGGCCAGCTTAATGTAGAATTAAAGGCAAAACTTTTTTTTTCCTTTTTGGGTAGAGTAAGGGAGAGTCATAACCCCTGTCAGTTTTTATTTGTACCCAGTTTCCCATTGGGGAGATTTCCTTTCAGTTTCTGTTGCATAGCCAAAACAGAAAGTGAGGGGAAATCCCACCAAAGTGAAAGAATTCCTGTTGTCACTAGTGTCCCCATTGGACGCTTTTCCGTCAAGTACTGTTTTGGTGACAACTCACAATATGACATTTTCTTTTACTTTCACTCTCAGTGAACAGTATACAGGACAAATAAAGAGGACAAATCTACTTACGGGACACGTAGAGCAATGAAAACCTGACAGTTGTTCTAATCCCTTTCCACTCTGTCCAAAACTTAAAAAAGGTTTTGGCTTTAGTTACACCTCAACTCTCTTTGCCAGTTTTTTTGGAAGCAAAACCATGTCAGTGATAATATTCCATAGCTTTTTTTTGCAGTTTCTCTACCTGCAGTGTGTTGCATGTACTGTAAGTATTTTTTTTTAATTGCCAGAAATATTTGATCAGTATGTTTTCCATTGTAAGCAACATCTAAAAATAGATTTAATTAGAATTACATTTTTAAATATCTACTGCATTTGTTTAGCAAGAAATAACATTGTCACTGATGAGCATTATCTTAATTTACATTACCTGTACATTATAGGCACCAAATAAGATGATAACTATTGCTGGCCTTTGTAACTATTTTTGTTTTTAGAGCATTTATGTATTTGAATTTGAAATATTACTAACACATCTAGTAATGTGCAGCATGTTACAACAGATAATAAAACTCTGGATTGTTAGAAATGGTACTGTACATATAAAAAGACTTGTTCTTTATTCTATTAGAATTAATTAATGGAGTCCCAAACACTCAACCAATATAATTGCAAAAAATTAAAAAAATGCCAAGGACACCTATTTTTTGCTGTGTGTCTAGCAAGTCGTTGGAGGTGAAGGACATACTCTAGTACGGGGCATTCATTTAAAATGGGTGTGGTTTTACAAGAGGTATATTGTTAACTTAATGCCATACTTTAATTCAATACTGCAGACTAGGGGCGGACTGACAACTCATGGGGCCCCCGGGCAGTAGGGATCATGGGGCCCCTGTGTCCTTGCCCAATCTCAAAAAAGCCTATGACAAAGGTACCATGGGCATCTCGTGGGGCCCCCTACTGACCCCGGGCCCTCGGGCAGTGCCCGAGTTTCCAAATGGTCAGTCTGCCCCTGCTGCAGAGCCAAGTGCAAGAGACTCTAAAAGGAATAGTTTTGAAAGATAATACCTTACTAAAGATTATCAAGCCAGCAAGAGACAAAGATGTTAGTTGCTTGTATTCCCGACTTGCAAAGTATAGAATCAAAGAAGGTCACAAAGATATAGAGTGGAGTGACCATGACAATACACTTACCTGTAAATACAGGATCAACAGGTCCTAGATAAACCTATGATTCCAGGAGCAAGAGGGAGAAGAGGAGACTTGAGTTAGTCAGCTCCCTCTACCTCCTGCCGCCACAGGCAAAGAAAGCAATAAAGCACAATTTATGAAACCTAGCAGGAGTTTCCCCCTTAGGCCCCATTCACCCCTGAGCGTAGCGTTTTTGTGCAATTTTTTTGTGCGTTTTGTTGCGCATTTTCATGTGCAACTTGGTCAGGCATTTTTGGTGTTTTTGAGTTCTGGCGTTTTTGTATTAGCCAATAGAGAAAAAATGTAATATGTGACATCAGTTGTTTCCATTTTTTGCCATGTCAGAAAGTACTTTTGGTTACATGACAAAATGTGCAAAAGTACATGAAAACGCGTGATTTGTGTTTTTCCATTTAATTCTATGGGAATAAAAACACACCAAAAACACATCAATCTGCCTGGAGTGGAGATGTGAGCCATCTCCATAGAGTAATATTGATTTTTTTTTCCTCCCTGAGCATTTTGGAGCTTCACCCTACAAAACGCTCATGTGTGAATGGGGCTTTAAAGTAAACAATTGCTACGTCAACAGAAAGGGACAGTCAATGACAGACTTTGTAGACTGAATCCTTTGAATGGAGAAGTCCTTGAGGTAAATGTGTCCTTGGTCTTCAGCTAGCTAATGGTGGAGCTCAAAAGTATCACTGTGCAATGGCAACTAGCAAAGTTAATATGATAGCACAGCGTATTTCCCAACCAAAGCTTTTAAGTAGATAAAGAGGGGGATAATGGTGTCTGAATGCAGTATCTATTGTGTTAGCTTGAATATTGGGCTTGCACCCGGTCACCGGACCCCTGGGACATGACACCTACAAAGTGCCCAGCAGCGGCCAACCCGATTTCCTGATGTTACTGCAGTCCCTGGAGCATTGAGGGTCTCCCCGTGGTGCTGATTGATGCTCGACTACCGAGAAGGTTTACTGTGCTAGACAGTGAAGCTGCAGCCTGGTCCTAAAGGGGAGAGAGACACGATCCCCTCTGTTAGCCT